AGTTGGCAGCTTGACATCTTGCTCAACCAGGAGAAGGAGAAAGCCTGTGGGTGAGTAAAATGTCATTCCTGACCGGGTCCGAGGATGCAGGTCTCAGGGCAAAAAAACACTGTGTGGACACAGGAAGTCGCCGCCGCATCCTTCCGGGTGGAGACGTATTCAGAGGTGAGGAACCCAGAAAACGAGTTATCCAAGAATGCTACTTCAAGAGAGAGCTGAATCGGCGACTTTTCCTTCATGAAGCCCGCCCCGGCCCTCGCCGCCAGTTGGCCGGAGCCGCCGCGGGCCCCCGACCTCGGCCCGGCCGAGAGTGGGAGCAGCTTGCTCCCGGCCGCGGGAAGGTCCACGTCGCCGGCCGCCGCGCCCGCGCGCAACAGCCCAGGCGGCGGTGAGGCAGGGCCGACATTCCCGCCCGGCCCTGCTACCCCTCTAACGGGACCCCCTCTTGACTCCTGAAGCCCCCTTCTCCCCAACTAAAACACCCACTCGCCTCGTCTTCCTCCTCTTCCCCCGGCTTCCCCGCCAACCTCTAGCCCCAATTACCTGATAACCACTGCCGCGGCCCCGTGTTTACATTCCGCTTGCCCTTTGCCACAGGAAGCGGAAACTAAAACGCCAGACTCCTTACCTGCCTACTTTTGCTCTCTAACCTCCAAAGAAAAGGGTTAAGAAGCCTCAGAGAGGTCCGAGTAGTTTAAAGAGGCTGGCAGAGAAATGACGACTATCGGGGTCTTTCTCCGCCGCAGACGCCTTCTCCTGGACTACAAATCCCAGAAGCCACTGCAGCGGGATCTGCAATGCCTTCTGGGACTTGTAGTCGGAGCCAGCGAGCGAATGACCTCAGCGAGAGGGCAGGAAAACATCATAGTGAGGCCAAAAAGGATACCAGGTTGTACCCAAGGCACAACCATTAGGCAAGTAAAGCAACGTGCTCTAACGCGCTTTACAACCTAACTGATGAGGTCAGCCACCGCAGAGGGCAAAGAAAAAAAAAAAGATTCAAGGGATTGATCAGTAAGGGTTCATGGCTTACCTGTAGGCTTCATGTGGGAATTAACAAATAAATTGGACTCAGAATAGAGACTACATGAAAGTAACTGTGAATCATGTCTAGAAAATAAGAGGGCAATTCACTGCTAGATGGCTAAAGAAAATTATAGTTGTGTGTGTGTGTGTGTGTGTGTGTGTGTATGCATATATTTTTTCCAATCTTTAAAAAAAATGAAAAAAAAAAAAAGAAGGAGGGGGAGGAGGAGGAGGAGGAGGAAATCCTGCCATTAGAAACAACATGGATTAACTTGGAGGATATTACATTAGGTGAAATAAGCCAGGCACAGAAAGACAAATACTGCGAATCTCGTGTGTGGCGTCTTAAAAAGTCAGAAACAGGGTAGAACAGAGTCAACAGGGGCTGGGGACTGAGGATAATGGGTGGATGTTTATCAAAGGATTCAAGTTTGCAATTCTGGCAGACCTAAGATACAGCATGGTGACTACAGTTATTAAGACTGTAATATGTGGGCTGGGGTTGTGGCTCAGTGGTAGAGCGCTTGCCTAGCGTGTGTGAGGCACTGGGTTCTATCCTCAGCAACACATACAAATAAATAAAGACCCATCAACAACTAAAAAAAACCTGTTAAGACTAATGTGTACACACACTCAGGTAACCATGTGAAGTGATGGGTATATTATAAGCTGGATTGTGCTGATCATTTCAAAATGTATATCAAAACATCACCGTGGGGGCTAGGGTTGTGGCTCAGTGGTGGAGTGCTTGCCTAGCATGTGTGGGTCACTGGGTTCAATTCTTAGCACTATATATATATTTTTTTTTTCAACAACTACTAAAAATTTTTAAAAATCACCTTGTCCACCTTAAATATATGTGTAATTTTATCTGTCAATAATACCCCAATGAAGCTAACAATTTAAAAACTCAAATGGTTGAGGAGGTAAATTTGCAAATATGAGTTGCTAAATTGCTGAATGTAAAAGTACTTCAGAAGCTTTACAGAGAAATAGATTATGCTACAATGTGCCTTTATGTTCTCCTTGGATTCAAATCAAACTATATGAATAAATGAATACATATATATATATATATACATATATATATATATGAAGGAAAATGAGAGGGCAAATGTGAAATAGGTGTTCAGGAAATTGAAAAATGATGACTGTTAGTTTACTATATAGCTATATTATACAAAGGAAGACCCATTTCTGGAAACCAGGCCTTCTCTACCTCAGCACTACATATTAACATTTAGAACTAGATAATTCTTGGTTGAGGAAAGAGCCTCCTGTGCATCGTAGAGTGTTTTTGCAGCATCACTGGTTTCTCTCCACCATAATATTTAATATTCACCACCATCATTACCAATGATGACAACCAAAACTTTTCCCCAGAGAATATCAAATATCCCCTAGAAGAAAAAATCTTCCAGAAACTCACTTATTGAGGATTTCTGATGTAAACCAATGATTCCTGAAAAGTGATCCTCAAACCCCTAAGAGTCACAAGACCTTTTCAAAGCCAAAACCATTTTCATACTCATGAAGACATCATTTGCCCTTTTCACAATGCTGACATTTTAACTGATGCTTAAAAAGGAATAGGGGGCAAAATTGCTGGCACCTCAGAATGAATTAAGGTAAATGATAGGGAACTCTCCTGGTTGTCATATTCTTCCACCACACACTTGTGGCAAGAAAAATAAGTGCCACCACTCAAAAATATTCTTGACAAAGCAGTAAAAATTATTGTATTAAAATGATCCTTGACTGTATGTTTTCTCTCATGTGGAAGCCAGAGAGGGAAAGGGAAAAGAAAGGTGAAGAATTGAGGATCTCATGAAACTTAAGAGATAAGTAGAGAAAAGGGACCAGGAGGTGGGGAGGAGTGGGAGAAGTGCTGGACAGTGATATTGACCAAATTGTTGTTATATTGTGCATATATGAATATGTAACAAATCCCACCAATATGTACAACTATGATGCACCAATAAAAAACGTGGAAAGAGAAAAATAAATAAAATGATTCCTGAGTCCATTTTTGTTCTGGGGGGATTTGAGGGGAGTACTGGGGATTGAACTCAGAGGCACTCAATCCGTGAGACACATTCCCAGCCCTCTTTTGTATTCTATTTAGTGACAAAGTCTCACTGAGTTGCTTAATATATTGTTGTTGCTGAGGCTGGCTTTGAATTTGAGATCCTCCTGTCCCAGCCTCCTGAGCCGCTGGGATTACAGGCATGTGTGCCACCGCACCCAGCAAATATATTTTTTAATATTCTGTGACAAAATGGGAAGTCTTCATAAAGTACTTCGGCTGTATACTAAAGTATGATGTCTCAAAGAAAAGCATTTGTGAGACTACGCTATAAATTGAAGTAGATACTTTTTCATGGAACACAACTTTTATTTAGAAGCATTCACAAGCTTATTAGACTTGAAAATGAGAAAAAGGAGACTGTTACTTCAAGAGAAACAATTGACAGTGTTTACTACCAATGACAAAATTCAAGATTGTAAGCAAAAATTAGGGTTTTTGGGGAAAAAAACTGTACTCACCACTGTGATCTTGACAGCTTCTGAATATTTCCAGACTTATTTAATAAGATTGGTAGTAGTGATGTTATCAGATATGACTATTTAGTTTGATTAAATGCATTTGTAAGAGCTGCTTAAGTAATATTTTCAAAATGACCAATGCATGATTTTGGTAGCTAGCCTCCAGTGAACCCCACTCCTAACATTCACACCTTTGTGAAGTTCCTTCCCACTTGCACCAGGGCATGTGCCACCTACAGAACAGGGCATAAATAATAACATATCACTTCTCTTACACTAAGGTGGCAGCAGTGTTTCTTAATCTGAGGAAAGGTTGACATGGCCATGTTCACTGCAAACCTTGAAAATTTATTTAGTCCAATATTTATGATTTGTGCCCTTTTCTATAGGTTAGAATCTATTAAAACATTTAAATATATGTAATCTCCCCCAACAAGATGCTCAGAGCAGGATGTCTTGTGGTCACATTTGTAGTGCTTGATTCATAGCGGCAGCATGAGGAAATAACAGTTTACCAAGGGAAATGGAAATGGTGCTTGAGGCTGTGCCCCTTTTCTAGGGTTTCCTACATCCCTCAGGTAATTTAATCTTGATCCCCTCTAGTCTGACAAAGGCTTCCTCCCACAAAGTTTTTACAATCGCCCACCATCTCTGTTCTTTCTCTGGTCTATGATCTTTATTAACCTTTTGATCTACTTACCCCATTTCCTGTACTCTTTTTAGAGACAAACATGAACATCTTCCAAGTTGCTAAAAAAATATCTAAATTTATCACTTAGCATTTATTGGCATTTATAATAAACAGTTCAGTAGATATTGATTTTTCAAACACAATCTTTCCTGGTATAAATTTGTACAGAGTAAATACAAAGAGCAATAATTTCCCTAAAAGAACCTATATGCTACTCATAATGTTCTTTAATAATGTTCTTTAACATTGTTTTCTCTTGTTTTAAGGATTTAGAATGCCTACAATTTAGCTAAAGCCCTGCGTAACAATGCAGGATGAACTGTATGGATACAAGATTTAGTACTAACTGAATTCTAACAGTAATGGGCCCAAATCCAACATTAGCTACTGATAAATGAAGCCGCTTTTGCTCTTTTTAGTTTTTTAAGTTCATTTTATTTATTTATTTTTATGTGGTGCTGAAGATCAAACCCAGCACCTCCCTCACACATGCAAGGCAAGCCCTTTACCACTGAACCACAACCACAGCTTTTACTGTGTGTATATCTTAACATTTTGTTTAGGTGGTTGATTTCTAGATGAAATCGGAACTAATTTAGTGGAGACAAAAATCACAATATTTTAAGTACTCAAATTTGATCAAGCACTATACAGATAGTTGGCCATGAATAAATTGTCTCACCACACCCACCCTTTTTAGTTTTCCCAGAGGTTAAAAAAGAAAGACATTAACAGATGAAAAATGAAGTTTTTCTTTATTATGAAATTGTATACTCAAAGCATACACAATAAACCACAGATTGATTTTTATCCTACCTCCGATTTACATGTTATATGTGGAAGTTCATTCATTTTGTCAAGAAAACTCACAATGAAATTGAGATTCATATTTGGGTGGGGAGGTAGGGGAGAAGCTAACGAAAAAGATGTTTAGACCACACACATTTTTCTTTCATTCCAATGGTGTCACTTGGAACACAAATGGCAAGGAGTTCTACATCCAGCCACAGGCTACCAGGTGTTAATTCTGTGTGAATGGTATCACTACAAGATCAAAAAGGGCAGCACAAGGGAGGGAGGAAAGGGGTTTATATAAAATTATCTAAAACTCTGAAAAACTACAAAAGTATCTTAAGAAAAATATAATCAAAGTAAAAGCAATGGTATTTATTTCAGTGAAATTATTTTAAATTATATATGATATATTAAGCTCCTATATGTCCCAACTTGGTAGAAAAGTTCCTCTCAGTGAGAAATCAATTTTAATGGCAAAATTTTTACATATCAGTAAAATCTGTTATATTTAAAACTATGTATACAGTACATTTCTGGCAAAAACCTTATACATCTTTCATTCAAGACAAAGTAAAAATATGGTTGCATAAAATCACAAAAAATATAAATTGCTGAAAAGATAATAAAAAAAGATTTTAAAAAAGCATTTTCATTGACTTCCCTTACAACTTTAATATTAGTAAGAATCTGCAAACTACAATAAATTTGTGAAAATTCTGTTGTAACCTTGACACACTTAACCAAAAATTGTCTAAGCTTAAAAAAGAATTTACCGCAATAATCTGCATTACCATACTATTTGTACAAGTGCAATATTTAAACATCTTCAAAATAAATCTCAATAACTAAAATGAATCACAATAACTTAGAAGCAAAGTTCACAAAATTAACATTTTTAAGAAGGTCCTGTTTAATTGGTTTTTCCTTTTTTCTCTCCTCCTCACAAGAGTTTATAGAGTATTATTTAGTTCTATGTATAAATCTGTAACTTTAAAAATACAATATTCTGTTCTTAACATCAGTAATATAATGCTGCTTCCAGAGAGCCCAAGTAAATCGATATTCCCCAGAGGACTACATACAAGTTATAAATACAGTTTTGAACTCATATTTAAAAGGAACTTCAATTACTTTATACATCTTTCAAACCCAAAGTTGAAATAAAACAAGCCCTGAACCCCCCCACACAAAAAAAATCAAGATTTTTGTTTTCAATTCAGTGCATCAGTCTAGAGGTACTGGAGTCACCATTAACTAGAATAACGATTTATGCAAACTATCACAACATCTGATTACATTATTATCTGATAAGTGCTCACTGTATTTGCCAAAAACCATCCTAATACAAGGGGGAGGGGGTGGAGCTCCCTTGCAATGATAAAATGCAGTGCTGGAAAGTGAACCCAGGGCCTGCACATGGCAGGCAAGCACTGTATCACTGAGTTACATTCCCAAGCCCAATTTAAATTAAAATAATATAATGCAAATATGGAGAATACAGTATTTTTTATTTTTTATCAGGATACACATGATAACGATTGTATCTGAAGTGACTTTTAATATCTGCATTTACACCTGGTATATGATTCTTTACTAAGAAAAAAATACATAAATCAGGGATCTTAGTAAGAGTAAACATTTTTAGACAGTTTCCATAATGCTAATTTTTTAAAAAGTAATAAAACCTGAAACAAACTTGACCATTTAGAAGCACTGATTTATTCCACATTTTAGAAATAATAATAATGTTATATCTGACTAAAGAGAGATAATGAAATGCAACGTGTAAGTTTTAACTGGATCCTGGTTTGAAACGACAAGCTATGAAAGAAATTTGGAGGACAGATGGGGCAACTTAAATATGGAATAGCATTAGAAGATATTAGGGAATTATAAATTTTACAATGGATTTATAAGGGTTTTTTTTTTTAAGGAGGATATCATTATGTTTTGGATATGCTTTAAGTATTCAGGGTAATAAACATCTATAGCATCCGAATGGTTAAGGAAAAAAGCACATATATAAACACAAATATATATGTATACCTATATGTTTATACATATATGAATATAAAGAAATCAAATATGGTAAAACATTAATTAATGAATCTAAGTAGTAGCTAAATGTGCTCACCAATATAGTCTTTCAACTTTTTCTTAAAACATGTTCAGAAAATAGTTTTAGGGAAAATCAGACCCAAGCACTTAAAGTCTGTAAGATGTATTCCTATGTCCTGAATGAATTTAAAAGATAAACAATCAAATGATTAAAAATTTTTGCATACATTCAATACTGGCAGACATGATGAGCCAGAATAAGTTGTGGAATTGGCAAAAACATGATTTATTTACAGTATATGCAACTAGCTCTTAAAGCAAATAGAGTACTTTATATACAAAGCATTAGGGGGACAAATTAACGATTAAACTTAGTGCCTAGAGTTTTTGAATATATAAATTTGTGTGTATTCGGACTTATCAAACTAAAGAAAAACTCTCATTTGAATCTAATATCTGATATGACTTATAATATAGAATTTGAAGAGAGAGATACAGAAGAAGTTATCCAGACTATTTATACTATTTAAGAATTTGAGGATCCCAGAAAACAATATCACCTATAAAGTTCTATGGAAATGCTAGGCAATATGTGTTGAATAAATTTATGAAGCAACACATCAACATGTAAGGATATATGAAGGCCTTTATGGTAAATTAATATTCTACAAAGCCCTATATACACTACATATAAAATAGCCAAAAATCAAGTGAGCCTGAGAGCTATAATCCATTGTGTATGCATTATATAATGCTGTATACCCATTGAACAACAAACAACAAAATGATCTTAATTTATTTCTGCACATTAGGCTTTTAACTACTAATCATATTTCAATCCCTGTGCAAATTGCATTCCAAAAGGCCAATCCTTAGTTATAATTATATATATATATATATATATAAAACTTGATTACAAATGGAAGCATTTAGCTATAATTTACTATGCATGCTTATTGCTATTAAAGAAATAAGCAAGGTTTTAGGCTTACTGTGCAAGAATTTTAATTAGATTTGCACACATTTCAAAAAATTCTATTGTGTGACTTCCAGGTCTTGGAGTTAACTCAACAGGAGACGAGTCAAGTGAGGTCACAGATGAGGTAAGAGAAACTTCTGAGGATTTTCCTTGAGCCTCAGCATCTGAGTCATTCCTTTGGCAAGATCGATAGTTGCTAATTGATCCCGATCTCTGTGGAGTAGCAGTACCTGATTTGGCTTCTGTAATTTCATCTGGGTAAAAAGAATTTCAATTTATTATAATATATGACCTCCCCACAAGATTTTTTGAAATACTGAATTTGCTTCTTTAAATAAGAATATTGACCAGATATTCAAAACATGTTTATTTTAAACACCTTCGAAAACTGAAGCAATATGCCTGTGTTGAACTAGTCATCTTTTTTTAAACATAATACCTATTCTCCTAATACAGCTACTCATCAGTTTTGCAATCAAAGGTTAAGAACCCAGTAAACTAATAACCTGGGGTTTAATAAATACCATTTTTAGCAATAAGAATTAATCCTTTGGGGCTGGAGATGTGGCTCAAGTGGTAGCGCGCTCGCCTGGCATGCGTGCGGCCCGGGTTCGATCCTCAGCACCACATACAAACAAAGATGTTGTGTCCGCCGAGAACTAAAAAATAAATATTAAAAAAAAATTCTCTCTCTCTCTCTCTCTCTCTCTCTCTTTAAAAAAAAAAAAAAAGAATCCTTCTACATGAAAATCATAGCATTGATTCTCTTGAAATATGGAAGGTATAATGGGAATCATCTGATTCATACCTTATTTATTGATTTAAAAAAATACACCTAGATAAGTTGTTACTTGTCCAAGCAAAGAAATGAACAAAAATGTACATTAGGTTTAAAACAGAAGTTTCCTCTAACTTCAGCTCAGTGATTTTCACTCTCTACTTTCTCATCTGCCTCATTTAAAATCTTATAAGTGAACAACAATTCCAATAAAAAAAAAAGAAAGAAAAAAATAGGGCTGGGGTTATAGCTCAGAGGTAGAGCACTTGCCTCGTATACATAAGGCACTGAGTTTGATCCTCAGCACCACATAAAAAGTAAAGACTGTGTCCTTCTACAACTAAAAAAAAAATTTTTTTAATTCAAAGAAAAACTATTGGAATCAAAATACAAAAATAGTAAATGGTCATTCAAATGTAAACTCAGGTACTAATAAATCTAGGCTTGCAAGTTTCACCCACACGTAATAAAAATAAAACCTATTCTATATCTCAAATTGTACTAGTATGTGTTAGCACACATTTGCTATCTGGATATACCCAGAAAATCAGGTTTAGCCAGCGTATCATAACTCAAACCTGTGCCTTTCTGATACTGAATAGGTACTATTTTTGAGTTTATAAAGAAGAATTCATAGGTTAAATTTTTCTAATAATTTTATATAATCTTCCATAAACAAAACTTAACTCAATTGATCTGGTCAATGAAGAGTAATAGTCATATCAGGATGCAAAATCAACATTAAAAAAAATCAAAAGCTTTCCTATATAACAATGATGAATTTGCTGAAAAGTAGATCAGAAAAAAATCCCATTCAAAATAGACCTTAAAAATAAAATACCTAGGAATAAATCTAACCAAGGAGATAAAAGACCTCTACAGTGAAAAGTATAGAACACTAAGGAAAGAATTGAAGACACCAGAAGTCGAAAAGACCTCCCATGTTCAAGCATAGGCAGAATTGATATTGTTAAAATGGCATACTACCAAAAACATATACAGATTCAATATAATCCCCATCAAAATACCAATGATATACTTTACGTTACTAGAAAGAAAAGGAAAAAAAAAATGTCCATAATTCATTTGGAAGAATAAATGACCCAGAATAACCAAAGCAATTCTAATCTAAAAAAGCCAGGCTGGAGGCATAACAATTCAAATTATACTCCGGAGCAACAAAATCTATAACGTATTGATATAAAAAAACAGAGATATAGATCAATGGAACAGAATAGAATAAACAGAGACAAACCCACACTAGTACAGTCATCTCATCCTTGACTAAGGTGCCAAAAACATGTGGGAGAAAAGACAGCCTTTTTAACAAATAGTGGTAGGAGAACTGGTTATCCGTGTGTAAAAGAATGAGACTAGAACCTCATCTCTCACCCCGCAGAAAAGTCAATTCAAAATGACTTTGATATGAATCAAAGACCTAGGAGTTAGACCAGAAACTTTGCAACTTCTTGAAGAAAATGTAGTGTCAACACTCCAACATGTAGGTGTAGGCAAGAACTTCCTCTATAGGCCTAAAGCTCAGGAAATGATACCAAGAATTAATAAATGGAATAGCATCAAATTAAAAAGCTGGGCTGGGGATGTGGCTCAAGCTGTAGTACGCTTGCCTGGCATGCGTGCGGCCCAGGTTCAATCCTCAGCACCACATACAAACAAAGATGTTGTGTTCGCCGAAAACTAAAAAATAAATATTAAAAAAAAAAATTAAAAAGCTTCTGTACAAAAATGGAAACAATTCAAAATGTGAAGACAGAACCTATAGAATGGGGAAAATCTCTGCCAGCTACTCTTCTGATAGAGGATTACTAGCTAAAATATATAAAGAACTAAAAACACTCAATTAAATAAATACCAAAATCAAGTGGACAAATAAGCAAACAGACTCTTCTCAAAAGAAGAAGTACAAATGGCCAACAAATATCTGAAACAATGTTCAACATCTTTAGCAGTTAGGTAAATGCAAATCAAAACTACACTGAGATTTCATCTCTAGTCAAAATGGCAGCCATCAAAAATATAAATAATAGGGTGTGGAGAAAAAAGAATACTGTTACATTGTTGATGGGATTGTAAATTAGTACAACTATGTAATCAGTTTGGAGGTTCCTCAAGAGACTAGAAATGGAACCATCTTATGACCCAGCTATACCACACATCAGTATTCATCCTAAAGCATTAAAGTCATCTTACTATAGCAATACATGCGTACCCATGTTTATAGCAGCACAATTCACAATAGCCAAACCATGGAATCAGCCTAGGTATCTACCAATAGATGAATGGATAAAGAAAATGTGGTACATGAACACAATGGAGTTTTATTCATCCATTAAGAAGAATGAAATTATGTCACTTGCAGGAAAATGCATGGAACTTGAGAGCCTTAAGTAAAATAAGCCAAACTGAGAAAGTCAAGTGTCATATGTTCTCTCACTTTGGAAACTAGAGAAGAAAACAGAAAATTCTAGGGAGATCAGAAAAAAAAAATCCCATTCAAAATAGACCTAGGGGGAGGGAGTCAAAGGGAGACCAGCAGAAGAGGAAAAGAGATCAGGGAAAGGGAGAAGAGGGAAAGGGGAACTACTGGAGACTGACAGTGACCAAATTATACTATTATATCATGTGCATATAAGAATATATAACAATGAATCCACTATTACATATAAAACCAGGCACCAATAAAAAACATGGAAAAAAAGAATAGTTATAACCTTGTATTTAACTTTAAAACTAACAGTAAATAAAAACTTAACAGAAATGTGAACATTTATTTTATTTTATAATATTTTATCTTACCAAAATGAATTACAAAAAAAAAAAACACCAGAAATGTAGCAGAAAACTGTCATTTTAGGATCAAACTCTATCTTGGCTTTAAGGATTTTATAAAACAAATTTAAAATGACAGTAGACTATAAGATTATAAGACTAAATATATTCACAAATGTTATATCAAAAAGTCACAATACATATTTCTTTGATACTGAACTACTAGGAATAAGTGAACAAGCTTCAAAAGAATCAAAGACTAAAGTCAAATTACATAACAAGTTCTAATAAACCATCTGTTGTATTTTATGTGATGTACATACCATCAATACTACGGAAATCCAGTAAGTAAGTTCTACTATCCACTTGGTATAACTGTAGACTCATTTTGGAGTATGTGCTTGTCACAGGATTCTTCCTTCGTACGCGCAAATAATAAGGGTTTACAACCTGGCGTACGATATTGACAAAAACAAAACAAAACAAAAACACCAAATCAATTCTTCTATAACATTTTTTAGACTACAGGTTTGCCAAATGTGTTAATACTCAGAATGCTCTTTCTTACCTTCCATTCATAATCCAATTGTTTAATTGCTCTACATACTTCTGCCATGATATCATTTGGCCTACTTTGGCTTCTAATTCCCAAATGCCATTTTGCTTTCCTTACACCTTGGTGTTTGGATTTCTGTGGATTTAATTCATCCAGAGTATGTCGTGCCCTTGGTGTTTCAGCAACCAAGAATGGCACTCTTTCAGGATGGGGTCGAGTTAAATGGTGATCATCAAGAAAGGAATCAGGTGGGCTTGTTGCCAAGTAGAAATCTTTGGCTTCATTCATTATTCTCCTATTATCTATGATAAGGTGATAGGCAACAGCCAAAGGGTCCTGGTGATTTCTGTTATAAAGGCAGCTAAGAACCTCCTCTTCTGAGCATTCAAATTTTTCACACACTTCTTTTAAGGCTTCATCATCAATCATGGTTGAGCTATATGACGGATCCTCAGGGAAGAGATATTTTGGAAGATCCTGTTTAAACCATTCATGCTCCCTGAGAAAAATGTAGGATTAAAAGGATTTTGAGTACAGCCAGGAATAAAATCAACATCTTTGAGGAATTTAAGATATGGAGTAATTTATATTTATATCCATACTGTATTATCACTATCATATTTTTTTTTTAGTTGTAGATGGACACAATGCCTTTATTTATTTTTAGTTATCCCACTCCTCAGAATATACCCAAAGGACTTAAAATCAGCATACTCTACTGATGTATCCACATCAATGTTTATAGCAGCTCAATTCATAATAGCTAAGCTATGGAACCAAGCTAGGTGCCCTTCAATAGGGCATAAACGGATAAAGAAAATACGGCATATATGCACAACAGAATATTACTCAGCCACAAAAACAGAATGACTTTGTGACTTTTGTCAGTAAATAGATGGATCTGAAGACTTATTATGCTAAGCAAAATAAAGCCAATTCCCAAAAACCAAAGGTCAATGTTCTCTCTGATTATGTGAATGCTAACATACAAGGTAGGGGGAGGCAAAGAATAGAAGTTCAGTAGATTAGACAAAGGGGAATGAGGGAAGGGAGGAGAGAACAGGAACAGGAAATGAACAGAAATAGTGGACTGATTCTGAAATAAATTTCCTATGTACTTATACTAATTAGAATAAGATATACTCTGTGTTTGTATAAATATGTCAAAATATACTCTACTGTATAACTAATGTATAACTAAAAAAAAAAAATTAAAAATCAGAAGAAAATTAAAGTAATATCCCACCAAGGTCCTGCTATTCTTTGTTAAATTTTTTAATGTTTTGGGACTCATGTGCAGTGCTGGACTCAAACAGGGCCTCATGAATGCTTGGTAAGAGATTTACCATTGAGGTATATATATCCCCAGTCTATCATTAGCTTTTTTTAATTTAAAAAGTAATACAATGAGGGGCTGGGGTTGTGGCTCATTGGTAGAGCGCTTGCCTAGCACGTGCTGAGGCACTGGATTCAATCCTCAATTCCACATAAAATAAATTAAAAAAATAAAGTCATGAAAAAAAAAGTAATACAATGAAACTGTAACAATTTCAATACGGAGACATACAAGTAAAAAATAAAATCTCTCCCTCCAACCAATTTAACTTCCCTAAGTATCGGTTCAGCATGTTTTTAATACCACAGTGAAATAAATGTGTTTATACCATGTAATTTTTTTCACATAAAAATGGATTACACTGTATATTCTATTCTACAACTTTTCCATTCACTTAATATAGATCATGGATATATTAGATCTGATATTTTCCAAACTGCTTTATTACCTGATATCTTTTATCGTGGCCCTCTTCATGGGATCCACCTGCAGCATATGTTTCAAAAGGCTAATCACAGAAGGATTTAAATACTGAGGAGTATAAAAAATCCCATCGCATATCTTCTTAAAAAGAGTTGGCACATGATCATCATCAAATGGAAGGGTTCCACACAATAAAGCATAGAGAATGACCCCACTGCTCCATATGTCTACCTCTGGACCTGCATATAATCTGTAATGGGAAATACCAATTGCATTAAATAATCATTAATGATGTCAGACTCCATCAAAAACTTTAAACATGGATATTTCATAAAGAATTATTATTTAAAATATGGGTTTTTATAGCTACTGTTGCAAATCACCCATAAACTTAATCTCCCATAAAATTTTAATTCAATCAGAACTATCTTAAAAACAAAAGTGAAGTTTTATAAATTATAGATCATAGCTAAAATTCTGTTCTTACACCCTCAAAGGATCCCACCAATAGAGCCAAACCTTGAACAAACAGATCACTATTGAATTTAAAACGTGGTTTTGTTACAAAGGAGATATTAAATTATTTAATGATATACAGAACCCATTGCTTCCCATCATACTGGAACCCCTTACCAAAATAAAAGTGGCTGAGAAAGTAGCCAAACTAAGTGGTTCATAGAATATTTTAAACTCTTATTAAGGTACACTATAGATATCTGCCTTAACTAGTTGCAGACTAGTTAAATCATCCATTCAGACTACCTTCAAGAGAAAAAAAAATTGACAAAATTAAATTGTTGAACTGTTCAATAAAGTAAAAGTTCTCACTCACTCAGACCTCAAATACTTCATCCAAACTAGGGAAATCAGATTTCAGTAATGGCAGTTGCACCATATGCATAATCATAACACATCTCATTTTTATTTAGTTACACTCTACCCAGTTTCCAGGTCCTGAATGTTTTCCTCTCAAAATAATTAAGATCAACAGACACAAATAAAATAGTGATTTAAAAATAATTTTGGGGTGATTGGGGTTGTAGCTCAGTGGTAGAGTACTTGCCTCCCATGTGTGAGGCACTGGGTTTGATCTTCAGCACTACATAAAAATAGATAGATAGATAGATAGATAGATAGATAAAGATGTTGTGTTCATCTACAACTAAAAATTTTTTTTTAATTTTTTTGACATTAAGTTAATAGAAAAGATAATGATGAAAGATGACAAATCTAAAATTAGGTATTCCTGCCTTATTCAAAGTTAAGCTTTTACACATATATCATTTCTTTGGGCAGTCTAGGAAAACAAACTTATGAAAACAAAAAAAAATTTGTATTCTGAGTTAATCAAGATATGAAACATTCAAAGATGTGCTTTCAATGAAAAGTTATTAAAAGTTGTAATGGTTGGGCTGGGGATATGGCTCAAGCGGTAGTGCGCTCGCCTGGCATGCGTGCGGCCCGGGTTCGATCCTCAGCACCACATACAAAGATGTTGTGTCCGCCGAAAACTGAAAAAATATTTTTAAAAAAGTTATGGTTAATTGTCAACTTGATTGGATTAATATATGCCAAAGACTAAGAGGCTCCTGAGTGTGTCAAGGAATGAATGGAAGTGGGACAGCAAATTGATATAGAAACCCTCCCTAAGCGTGGGCAGCACAGTCTAATAGGAAGGTGGCTTGGATGGAATAAAAGTTGGAAGAACAAGAAAGTAGCAGCAGATGCAAGCTTGATTCTTCTTGAATGGGTTTTGTTGTTGTTGTTGTTGTTTTTAGTTGTCAGTGGACTTTTATTTTTATTTATTTACATGTGGTGCTGAAAATGGAACACAGTGCCTCACACCTGCTAGGCAAGTACTCTACCACTGAGCCACAACCCCAGCCCTTGAATGGGTTCTTGACTGCTGCTACAGTTGCCAGAGGCTATCAGACTCCTGCTCCATCACTCTCTCAATTCATACTCTGCCAGTGATTCTCTAGGGAGTTTCCAGAGGCCTTTGTCTGGGCCTAGGGTCACATCTTTGATCCCCCTTGTTCTGAGGCTTCAACCTCTTGGATGGCACAACTACTGGTTCCTCCAGCTCTCCAGCCTGCAGATAGCCATTGTAGACTATCCAGCTTCTGATTATGCAAACCAATCCAATAAATCTCACTTTTATAATCATATATCCTGTTAATTCTATTCCTCTAGAGCATACAAAAGTTAATTATAAAATCTAGCAAACAAACTTATTTCTCTGTTTTGTTTTCTTTCAGTGGTAAAACAGTTATCCCTTAAAAATTGTTTTCCAAGCTATTTTAAAAAGCTGTCCTGTGCAAATATCCTCATGTTCTCTATACTGATGGTTAGCAGATTGAGAGGGCAGAATTCTTACAATACTACAATCTCTAAAACATATAAATAAAGAGAGCATAAATGAAGTCAGAGGATTTTTTTTTTTAATGGGGCACTATAATTCAACGTAAGAGGAAAATTTATTTTGATATATCTGTACATGCACAAAACATAATTTGGTCAATTTCATTCTCCAGAACCTCCCTATTTTCTACAGCACTGCTTTTTGCTCATGATTGCTTTGGATTTTCTGGGTTTTTTATTCCTCCAAGTGAATTTTTAGGCCTGCTTTTCCTAGTTCTGTGAAGAATGGCATTGGTATCTTGGTGGAGATTATACTGAATCTGTATATGTATATAATCTGTACCTGTAATATGGCCATTTTTAACAATATCAATTCTACCTATTATTGAACACACAAGGCCTTTTTATCACTTAGTGTCTTCTTCAATTTCTTTCTTCAGTGATCTATAATTTTCATGGTAGAGGTTTTTCACCTCATTGGTTAGATTTATTTCCAGTTTTTCATTTGTTTGAGATTTCTATGAATGAAATTATTTTCCTTATTTCTTTTTCACCGGATTCATTATTGGTGTATCATTACTATATACTAATTTTGTATTCTGCTACTTTTCTTTTTTTGTTTTAATTAGTTACACATGACAGTACAATGACCTTGACATATCATACATTTGAATCAGATGGGATATAATTTCTCATTTTTCTGAGTGTACAGGTTGCAGAATGATGTTGGTCATGCAGTTGTATTCCACTACTTTTCTGAATATGTTTACCAAACCCAGAAGTTTTCTGGTGGAGTTTTTTGGTTCTTCTAAGTACAGGAACATATCAATTGCCAACAGTGATAATTTGATTTCTTCCTCACCTATCTGTATCCCTTTTATTTCCTTCCCTTGGCAATTGCTCTGGCTAAAATTTCAAGTACTATATTCATTTTAGAGGGAATGCTTTCAGTTTTTCTTCATTCAGTATGATGTTGGCTTTGGGTTTATCAATAAATAGCCTTTGTGGCTTTGAGGTAAGTTCCTTCTATCCCTAGATTCTTCAGTGTTTTTATCATGAATGGCTGCTATTATGGTTAAGATATGGTGTCCCCCAAAAGCACATGTGTGTGGCAGTGCAAGAATTTTCAGAGGTAAAATTTGATTATGAGGTATGACCTAATCAGTGGATTAATCCAGCAATGTGAACTAACGAGGTGGTAACTATGAGCAGGTAGGGTGTGGCTGGAGGAGAAAGGTCACTGGGGTCACGCTTTTGGGTTTATATTTTGTCCCTGGTTATTAGCAGAGCTCTCTCTCTGCTTCCTTGTTGCCATGTCGTAAGCTGCTTTCCTCTGCCACACCATTCTGCTTCAACTTGGGCCTAGAACTATGGAGTCAGCCATCTCTGAATTGAGATCTCAGAAACCATGAGCCAAAACAAATTTTCCTTCTCTTTTTTTTTCAATGTCCTGGTTCAACTTTAGTGTCTAGAAATGTTACCTATTTCATGTACATTTTCCAACTTATTGGAATATAAGTTTTCAAAATAGTCCTAATAACCCTCTGGATTTCCATCATGTCTGTGGTGATATATCTGGTTTTCATGAAATAATTTAATTTTACTAATTTGGGACTTTTTTTTTACTTTTGGTTAGTTTGATTAAGGGTTTATCAATCTTGTTTGTCTTTTTAAGAATGAACTGTTACTTTCACTGATCCTTCATATTTTTTTATTCCCTATTTCATTAATTTCAGCTCTGAAAATATTTCCTTTCTTCTATTGATTTTAGAATTGGTTTGTTATTTTTCTAGGAATGTAGATGCATCACAAGGTTGTTTATGTAGGATCTTTTTGATTTTTTTCATGTAAGCACTCATAGCTATAAGTTTTTCTCTTAGAATCACTCTCAGAATGTCCTAGAACTTCTGGTATGCTGCGTCTTTTCAAATTCGATTCTCAAAATCTTTGAATATCTCCCCAATTTCTTCTATTCATCCTTCAAAAGTGTATTGCTCAGTCTCCATGAGTTTCTATAGTTTCTTTACTTTTTCTTGCTGTTGATTTCTAATTTCAATCCATTATGATTTAATAAGATTCAAGGAATTATATCTATGTTTTTGTTACTTGCTAACATTTGCTTTGAAGCCTAAAATGTGCTCTATTTTGGAGAAAGTTCCAGGAGCAGCTGAGAAAGATATTCAGTTGTTGGGTGAAATAATTCATTTATTCTGTAAGTCCACCTGCTATATAGTATTTTACACATGTGAAGTGTCTTTGCTAATTTTAAACCAGAATGATCTGAGAATGTACTGGGATCTATCTGAGCATTTATGTCAAGTAGTGTTTGTTTTATGTAATTAAGTGAACTGACATTTGGGGCTTATACATTTACTATCATTATATCTTTGTGCTGGATTGTTCCCATACCAGTATGTAGCAGTCTTCTTTTTCCCTTCTAATTCATTTTGGCTTGAAGTCTGCTTTGTCAGATATGAGAGTAGTTGCTACTGCTTGCTTTGAAGCTCCATTTGCAAGGAATATCATTTTCCATCCTTTCATTTCTGGCCTGTGGATCTCTTCACCTGAGAGGTCTATCTCTAGCAGGCAACACATAATTGGATCTTGTTTCAAATCCAATCTTCCAGTCTCTGTCTTTTAATTGGAGAGATAAGACCAAAATTTACATTCAATTTTATTACAGAAAGGTATTTATTATTTCCTACAACTTTCATTTATTTCTAATTATTTAATCTAATCCTAATTCTCACATGCTAGTACTATTCTTCTAATATTTATTCTTCCTTGAGCACTGTTGTTTTTTTTTTTTTATTGTTTTGTTTTTTATCTTCTTCATGTAGGATTTTTTAAAGTATATTCTGCCACATTGGCTTAGCAGTCCTGAATTCATTCAGTTTATGATTACCTTGAAAGTTGTTTATTTCTTCTTTGATTCTGAAGGATAGCTTTGCTGGATATAGCAAACTTGGTTGAAGTTATTTTCTTTAAGGGCATAATGCATATCATTTCAAGCCCACCTGGATTCCAGAGTTTCTGCTTAGAAATTGGATGTTATTCTGATTGGTTTATCTCTAAATGTAAAATGATGTTTCTGAGACTTTTAAAATTCTATCCTTGTCCTGGATGTTAGACATTTTACTTATAAAGTATAGCAGAGAGTTTTGGTTTTGGTTTTGTCTATTTGGAGTTCTAAATGTCTCCTATATCTTGGGAATTAATTTCATTTCCAAAATTTTAAAATGTTTCTGCTCTTGTTCCATTAAATGGGTTTATCTATGCCCTTAACCTGTATTTCTGGCTCCTGCCTCAATGCTAATTATTCTTAAGATTGTTCTCTTAATATCATCCCAGAGTTCTTTTTTATTCTTATCATAGATTCTTTCTTTCTTTTCTTTTTAATACATCTGAATATTGGAGACTGGCAACCTTGCCTTTAAGATCTGAGATTCTATCTTCTACTTGGCCTAATTCTTTGGAGGGACTTTCAACTTAATTTTTTATTTGATATTGAGTCTTTGGCTTTTAAGATTTTTGTTTGACTCTTTTTCAGAATCTATTAAAATGTTCTTTAGTATCCTATAATTTCTCCCTTAGTTCATTCCTTAGATCTGTAAATTCATGAATAATTTTAACAACCAACTTTTTAATTTCTTTCTCTGATATTTTATTCATTTCAATTTCTGGATTCATTTATTGGAAGATTATAAGCATATGGAGGCATTTTGTTGGCCTGCTTCACGATGTTTCTAAGGTCCTATATTATACATCTGTTGTGATAAATTCCATTTTCTCTTTTATGGATTTTGTTTCCTTTTATAATGATTAGTTATCTGTTCATAATAAGCCCTGGGCTGGGAGTTTATCTTAGCTTCAACACATAAAATCAGCATAATCAAAGTGCTACCTTTTGGCCAAGTACAGTGGCATTTGCCTATAAGCCCAGCAGCTCAGGAGGCTGAGGCAGGAGGATCCTGAGTTCAAAGCCAGCCTCAGTAACTTAATTAGGCCCTAAGCAACTCAGCAAGACTCTGTCTCTAAATAAAATATAAAAAAGGGCTGGGGATGTAACTCCCTGGTTAAGCACCCCTGGATTCACTCTCTGGTACTAAAAAAAAAAAAAAAGTGCTAAGTTTAACCACCCAGTACCCCTTTAGGAGGACAGTAACCACCAGTAGTAATGGTAATTTAAAAGCAAACCATATGCTTAAAAAGTTATCACTATTGATCTCTACCACACTATTAACCAAAGAAATGGAGTGAGAATCTGAGGGTTTTATAAATATTTCAGTCCAATTTCCCAAGAAACAGTTTCATTATGAAACCCAAAACTACTACAAAATACCGTCTGTTTGAAAAATTAAAGTACACATTACATTACACTTTCAATTCTTCATAGGTAAAGAATAAACCAGTTCTAACTAGTGGGTATTTCTATATTACCCATGTTTTTCAGTGTCTTCACTACCTGCACCTAAAACACATCAGCTTTAAACCTTCAATTTTTTCCACAAGGGAAAAAAAATTAAAGTACTCTCTTCTAAATGCTTTAACATAACATTAATTTTCAAGCCAACTTTGTACTCTATCTTAATCTTTTCCACCTACGTTTTATTCTTAAAAACAGAATACTTACAGATTAGAAAATAAGCCTTATATTTCTTTCATTTATTAGAATTTAATGATACTGTATTTCTTTCCTTTCACTAGAATTAAATATGACAAAATCTAGGAGAAAAAGTCAATTATTATAAATGTAATAGGAGTTGGATGGTATCAAATACTACCTTCCTGAAATTACTTCTGGTGCAGCATAGTTGGGTGAGCCACAACTTGTTCTTAAAAATTCACCATCTGACATCATGTTTGAAAGACCTGAAAGTGCACAAAAACAGCTAGTCAGGATTTCCTAAGGCCGAAAATAAAAACCAAAGCCCATTAAATGCAATTGTTTTATGTGATGAATCATTTTCTGTGCTTCAACAAAATCATATCGTCTTTATTCCCAAATATTCTGCCACTATGCCCTAAAATGTATAAGTTATTTCAACTTTTAAAGTTAGTGTATTGTTAGAGCTTAATGAGTATATATTAAACTACTGGTTATTTTGTTTACTACATTGAACTTGTCATATATAAGCTTTATTAATATAGAAGCTGCTAGGGAAAATAATCTCAAATAGATGAATAGAATGACTAAAATCTAAAGTTTCTATTAACTCAATTCTGATTCATCAAAAACAAAAAACAGCCGGGCACAGTGGCACACGCCTGTAATCCAAGCAGCCAGCAGCTCGGGAGGCTGAGGTAGAATATCAAGTTCAAAGTTAGTCTCAGCAACAGCAAGATACTAAGCTACTCAGGGAGACTCTGTTTCTAAATAAAACACAAAATAGGCTGGGGATGTGGCTCAGTGGTTGAGTGCCGCTGAGTTCAATCTCCAGTACCAAAAAAAAAACAAATCCAGTAATTTTTAATCTGAATGTTTCCTCATACTTGTACTCCAAAAGGAAATCTTTATCTTCTCAGAAATGTACTCTATATAAAGATACTCATGCCAGCTCAGGAACAAGGAATTTCAAAGGAAAAACTAAAACAAAAAATGTAGCTCAGGATTGTTAGCACTGTTTAGTAAATCACCATATAATTACAATATATACAAGAAAGCTGAGAAAAATATCTACAAGAATTTCTTCTGATTTGAATTACAGCCAACCAAAATAAGAGAGTTTCAAAGATTCATTTTTCTCTGAGGTTCAATAATGTTAGGGGCAATCTATATATGAAATAAAATTAAATTCATAAATTGGGGCTGGCGTTATGGCTCAGTGTAGAATGCTCGCTCAGCGTAGACTGCTCGCCTAGCACATGAGAGGCACTGGGTTTGATCCTCAACACCACATACATACATACATACATACATACATAAATGTATGTGTCCAACTACAACTTTAAAAAAATACATTAAAATGTTTCTTAAGCAGAAATTAGATTTTCTTGCTGGGGATTGTGGCACATGCATATGATCCTGGTGGCTCAGGAAGCCAAGGCAGGAGGATCTCAAGTTAACAGCCAGCCTTAGCAACTAAGTGAAGCTCTAAACAACTTAGTGAGACAATGTCTCAAAATAAACAAAGTGGTTGAGCACCTCTGGGTTCAATTCCTGGTACCAAAAAAAAAGAAAGAAAGGAAGAAAGAAATGAATTAGATTTTCTTATGTAGCTCACAGTCTTGCTTTCAATTTTTAAGGAATTCCATCCCACTCACTTTCCTTTCCATACTTATCAAAAGAATATGCTGGAATAAGTTTGGTACCTTCTTTCATATGATCCATCTAATGCTGCCAACTTCAATTGTTTATCTACTATCATAAAATTCAATTTTAAAGAAATAAGTTTAAGAAATAGCAATGAAGCAGAGAAATATTCAACACTGATCCTAAAAAATGCTTTATTATTTCTTTAAAAACCCTTGATAATGAGTTGTTACTTTTATGCCATCAAATTTTATGCTTTTTCCGCAGCACCACCCCCCCAAAAATAATTTATGCTTTGTATCATTTAAATCATTTAAATGTGATTCAACACATATAAAAACGCATAAAAATGAAGAAAGAATACCTTATTTTTTTTCCTTTACCTTATTTTTTTTCCTTTTTTCATGCTCATGCTTAGTGACAAAACGGGATACTTCTATTACATAAAAGCCATCTGAAGAATGCTACTTATCTTGTTAAACATAATGAACACATGAAACTGTAAAAATATCCTTACCAAAATCAGCTATCTTTGCATTCATGTGTGCATCAAGCAGGACATTTTCAGGTTTCAAATCTCTATGTACTACCATATGCCTGTGACAGTAATCCACACCAGAAAGGATTTGTTGGAACAGACGTCGACTTTCTTTTTCATCCAGCTAAGAAAAGCAGAGAAGTACAGGTGTGTCATTAAAAAACAAAATGAAGAAAAAACTCCTATCTATTATTCTTCAACTTATATAAACTATCAAAATTCATGAAACCTTCCAGATGAACTTTGTTCATGAGATATTTTTGAAAAGGTAAGGAGATATACATGCCCCGCAAAACAAGAAATGCTAAGAGGATTTCTGGACCCCAAATCAGCAATCCAATTTTCTAATCCTATCATTTGCATATGAGTACATTTATCAGCTTGCAATCTTCTACATCTCATGACCTATTTCAAATAGTTTCAATTTCTAATTGAAACAAACTAGACACGTTTTTGCCTATAAACTAGAAACATTTATTCCTCCTTCCTTTTAACAAATATTTACTAAGCGCCTTCAATGTGCTATATCATTTAATCATTGTTTATACAGCAATGGATAAAATAAAATCCCTAATCTAGTTGTCAAAAATAAGGCAACAAAAAAGTCAAGTAACATCAAGGAGTGACAGCACTCTGAAGAAAAATAAAGAGTAAGAGAAAGTGATGCTGGGAATGGGGGATAAAACTTTATAAATAAAATTTAAGTATTGTTAATGAATTAACAAGCAGCCATATTATTATATATCCTGAAATTAAAAATGTTTTAATTTTAACAAAAGAAAAATCTTAATTTGTCTCATAAATATAAAAGCATTTTTTAAAAATCTACGCTACAACTACCTTTGTAAAATTATTCTTAAAAGTTTCTCTATTCAGGGCTGGGGATGTGGCTCAAGTGGTAGCGTGCTCGTCTGGCATGCACCGGGCGCTGGGTTCGATCCTCAACACCACATAAAAATTAAAAATAAAGGTATGTGTCCACCTAAAACTAGAAAATAAATATTAAAAAAAAAAAAAAGTTTCTCTATTCAGGACTGGAGTTGTGTCTCAGTTGTAGAATGTGTGCCTAACACATGTAAGGCACTGGGTTCAATCCTCAGCATCACATACTAAATAAAGTTATATGTTCACCTATAACTAAAATATTTTTTAAAACTTTCTCTATTCATATTTTCTTAAATTATGATGCTTTCTCAACATAATGGTTATTACTTGCACATGCCTATTCCAAAGAAGTCATATTTTAAAAATAAGCTATGAATCTTCTAAGCAAAGAACTCTTACATGCAATGCTAACTCATGAATTAGCATTCTAAAATCAGAATTCCACAGCTTAACTGGCATGATAATCTGAGAGGAAAAGAAAAACTAGTAATTTCCTTTGAAAAATTAAAACTACTATTGAAGTGCTATATAATCCTTTGGGGAAAAAATGCTAATATTTTAACAATTTAACACCTTTATTTCTTCAAATGAAAGTATGAGAGAAAGGGTATCTGTTCAAAATATGAAAATACAAAATATGAAACATAAAATCAGTAAGTAGTTTAAAAAAATAAAAAATACTACATTTGCAAAAACAGTATAAAAGGATGGAAGAGATTTTATATAAAGGAAGATTAGAAAAGTGAAAGTATATTTCCAGTTCAACATCACAGACTACATCTTTTACCTCCACTCCTTAAAATATCACTAAAATTACATCAGCAATAAAAATGGTATATAAAACATAAAGAAAAAGAGAAGAAATGGCAGTCATAAACAGGAGTTACCACATTGGACAGTGGGTAAATGGTGATAAAGATTTAGCCAACAAGAAAAAGGTGAAACCTAAGCCTACGGGGGAGAACAAAATCATCAGCACACAGAATCCTGAAAAGGCTTAGAAAATGGAAGCATCACACACTTCTGAAGGCAGAAGTAAGAAGTGGGCTGAAAACAGGATAAATGATTAAGGCAAGGAGCCTTTAAATTCACCCCTATCAGGAAATAAGACCAATGGTTTACTCTAGTAAGACTGAATCAGTATATCCTCAAGAACACCACACAGGAATAAGGCACTTTGAGGACACCATGTGGGTTAAGTGAAAGTCAACATATTAACTAGTGAGACTTTTCGCTTCCCCAATTAGCTCTGACAGCTCAACTAATACTTTCAAGAAAATTGGAAGTATCTTGTGCAGCAAATATCAGACCCAAGAAAAAATAGTTGTTATTACTGACATTGGTGTACACTAATAAAATGAATAGGTTCCTACCAATTCAACCTACAGGAAGGCCCAACAATCAGTTAAGACCTACCCCAATAAGCTTGGTATTTAGTAGTTTACTCTTAAGAACTTAAGTGACAGGCCGTGAATGAATTAGTGGACAACTCTAAGAAGGGCCATGAACAAAAGACAGGCCATAAAATGAACAGAAAAAACTGATGAGCAAAAAGCACAGAAGGTACAGAAACAGTGCAAGGAATAGAAGACAACCATTTAAAACAAAAAACAAAAAACTCTCATCCTCAACCAAGTAAGGTTACTACATTCATGGAGCAAAAAAATAGCAGACTTTTTAAAGAAAAGTTGATTTCAGAAAGCAAGAAAAACCTCTGATATATCAAATATGAAAGCTGAAATTTTAATATGCAAAAGGAAAAACTGAAAAACATCCCACAATGCAAAACACAATGGCCAAGAAATGAAAATGGAAGTAAAAAGATAAAAAAACAAGATATCAATTCAACTTGTGCCTGTTTCCAGTTTTCCAGGCAGAGCTTTTCTGGGGGATGGGCAGAGAAACAGATAAAGGGAATACCTGAAATATAAATGAGCCATGTTAAGAAACAGTAAACTAAAAATTAACTTGGTTATTGAGTTTGATTTTGATTAAAGTAAACATATGCTATACAAAATGAATGAATGAATGAATGAATGAATAATATATATAAGTTTACACTGGGAATGTGAAAAATTGTTTTCTCAGTGCTAAGCACAGCTATTTCACAAGGGGATTTTGTGTACCAGATAACCTGGGTATGAGAAAAAATATGGAGAGTGAGCAATGTTCAGTTTTTTTTTTTTTTTTTTTTTTTTTTTTTTTTTTTAAATATTTATTTATTTATTTTAGTTTTCGGCGGGCACAACATCTTTGTTTGTATGTGGTGCTGAGGATCGAACCCGGGCTGCACGCATGCCAGACGAGCGTGCTACCGCTTGAGCCACATCCCCAGCCCGCAATGTTCAGTTTTTATATCTGTACTTATGGTACTGTTCATGATCCTTCCAGCTCTAAATTCTTTTAAGTCTAATTCCTACCTCCTTCATGGAGCCTGTTCTTACTACTCCAGGTACATCAGATTTCTGAAACCAAAAAATGAATTCAATTTAATGTGGCTAGGGTTGACTAGCAAGCCTAGATCTTTAAGTATTTAATAATATATTTTTAGGATTAATTATATCCTTCAAAATACATATTTAAAGTATTTATATATCCCAAAAGCATAAGTTCAAGGATTATGAGTTCTGGAGTCTTGATCCAACTCTGTCATTGATAAAGCATGTGAACTCGAGCAAATGTATACACTATGAGGCTCAATATGCATATCTGTTAAGTAGGCTAAATAGGTTGTCTTTCTAACTGTAATCTATGATTCTAAACAAATATATAACTAATGGAACTGGTTATAAACTAGACCTCTTGAAACTTTTCTGACATTTGGGTGCCAGTAAGGGATAACGGGAGTTACAAAACATATACAGGATTAAATCAGAACTGCTTACCCTTCCATTTTTACAGATATAATCAAATAGCTCTCCTCCTGAGACATATTCCATCACCATGAAAATATCAGATGGTGTACTGATGACCTGGTACCTGGTGAGAGAAAACATTATCTACTAATATTAAAACATGTATATTCATTCATTCAATAATATTTAGTACACCTATAATATACCAGGTACTATGCTAGGAGCTGGGAAAACTGCAGGAACAAAACAAATTCTTGCTCTTGTGATGTTCATAGTCCAGAAGAAGGGAAACAGACACTAAATAAATGAGCAGTATCTCAGGTGGCACAACACGCTATGAACAGAAATAAAGCAAAATCTACACAGAATGCTCAAGAAAGGCTTCTAATAAAGAAGTATTTGAGTAGAGCCTAGAGGAAGGAAAGGAACAAACTATGCCATTATCTGGGAGGAAGGTGAACCAAGCAGAGGGAACAAAAAGTACAAAGGTCCCAGTAAGCCTGCTTGGCATGTTCAAGGAATGGGAAGGCGGCATAGGTAGAGTAACCTGGGAGAGAACTAGGATATGAAGCAAAAGAATAACTACAGGCCAAAGGACAAAGAACTTTACAAGCCATGAAAAGGCTTTGACTTTCACTTGAAGGAGGATGAAAAGGTATTGAAGATTTTTAAGTAATCTTATGATCTGACATTTTAGGATAAGTGGCAGCAGGGTGAAGAAGTGAATGTGGAGGCTAAAGGCTATTACAGTAGTCCATGAAACAGATGAAAGTGGTTCAGATCAGTTAGATGATGATAAGAACTAAGAAACAGATCAGAAAGATACTTTGAGGGAAAAGATGAAATGGATGGTAGGAACTGAGAGAAATAGGGAGGTTAAGGATGTTTCCCAAGTTTTTGTCCTGCAACTAACTATTAACTGCGATGGCAAAAACTGTGGGAAGAGCAGGTTTTAGAGGGTAACAAAGAGTTCAGATTTGACCATGCAGAGTTTGAAATGTCTTGTGGACATCCAAACACAGATTAAAAGTAAACAGTGCACACAGTAGTCCAGAGTTTGTAGAAGAGGTTTCAAAGAAGGAAATGTGCATTTAGGGTCACCAGCATGTGGGTGATATTTGAAACCACTTTAACACATGAAAAGAGTGAGTGAAACAAATTTCAGTTTCAGCCACTTCAACAAAAACATCTGAACACATTTAAATTGTAGCCTATATAATAAAGGAGGAGCTGAGCAATAAATAGATTATCTGCAAACCCTACTATAGTAAGATAATGGCTTTTTGAAATATTAGATTTCTGAAATTTTGATATTCGTATGATCAAATATAAGAATACGGGGAAAACCCCTTCCTAGTGCATTACCTCTAGTAAAGCTAATTGATAATATATGGAAATTTGGAGGCTGAGATTTTTACATCAAATCAATTGTTGGTTCCATAACAAAGAAGTACTAAACATTATCTATTAGAAGGGCATCTATCTGTTCAGAAGACAGGAAAGAATGAGGACAACAATAACATGTACAAGGTTAAAACATGAAAACAGGCATAACTGACAATGAATGAAGTTAGATAAATACATGAACAAGAAGAAATTTTTCAGGAAACAGGATGAAATGACAGTCATCTTTCTCAAAGTGATGAAAAGATGAATGGACTACATTTAATATAAATAGAGCTTACAGCTTAATTATATGAGGATGCCTGAAAAGCTTGAGGTTTTGAATTTCTCTGCGGATCTTTCCTACCACATCCAGGCTTCGAATCTTCTGTCGATTGAGTATCTTCACAGCAACTTTATGCCCAGTCAATTCATGTTTACCAACTGTAAGAGAAATAATTTTAATAAATTAGTGCCAGACTTGATTAATAATATATATTTAGATACATTCTAAGAATAATCTTAGCATTCTCAGAATATACTTGAGAAGATTTAAACATTTTTTTCACTTCTACCTAATTTTACTACTAAAGGTTTAGATGTTTAAGAGTGATTCAGGGGGCTGGGGTTGTGGCTCAGTGGTAGAGCGCTTGCCTCCCATGTGTGAGGCCCTGGGTTCGATTCTCAGCACCACATAAAAATAAATAAATAAAATAAATGTATAAAAAATGCTTTAAAAAAAAGAGTGATTCAGTGGGAAAACAAATAGTAGTTTCTCTGAGATAATAAAGCTGGAAAACCAAGAGGATAGAAAAAGACTTCCTTTTTGCTGTATGCTTTTGTGTCCTTTTAAATTTTTTTCTTTTTTTAAAAAACTACCATACATATTAATTTGAACCTTTTATCTTTTGGTGTACAGTTCTATGAATTTTAACACATGTAAAAACTGGTGTAACCACCATACTAATCATATGATACAGAACAGTTACATTATCCCCCCTAAAAACTTCCTCATGGCATAGACGCATTTCCCCTATCGGTAGCTTCTTGATACTTTTCAATCTTTTTTCATGGACGTGTGGTTTTCATTTTCAAATATGAAGTTTTTTAAAAAGTGGTTTTATCTTTAAATTTTGATGCTATGCCTACACAGACAATAAATGGTGATAGGATTTAGATACTGTTATAGAAGCAAAGTCTCCCAAAATTTAACTTCTGTGTATCCTTTCTCAAGAACCTACTAATGAATATATAATCCATCAAAGCCAGTCAGGAAACCACAAAAGATGACATGAAGTCCAGTAAAGAAGTAATAAGTGATAAAAATTAAGAGAATCCCCAATGATGACAAAGAAAGTTACAGATAACAGATGTGTAGAACGTCTAAAAGACAACAGATTCAGATAGGAAAGCAAGAGACCTTAGATAGTTGATGGGAACAGAGGGGTTGAAAGTACAGAAACACTGTAATGAGATTTTATCAAAGCAATAGAAGATATGAGAAATTCAGCACTAGGTCAAAGAAAACTTGAAAAGAAAAAAAAGGGAAGGGGGATGAGGTAATTTATTAACTCATGGAAAAAATTAAAGAGGTCATAAAAAACAAAATATAATCTGTTGGCTAACCAAATATTATTGGCTTAGCAAACAGTATTTATCATAATCATGAAAACAATAAATTTTTTTACATATGATATAACTATATTAGAAAAATGGGGTCTACAGAAAAGGCAGAAGGAAGAAAAATCTATGATAGTTGTTGAAATAAATTGTAGAAATCAAGCATATTCGGGCTGGGATTGTAGGTCAGTGGTACAGTGCTTGCCTAAAAAGTGTGAGGCACTGGATTTGATCCTCAGTAGTGACTCCACATAAATAAATAAATAAATAAATGTATTTTTTAAAAAAGAAATCAAACACATTCTAATTTCTAATAAGGTTTTCTCCAATCTCTAGTACCAATTAGATGTGATTAAGTGCAAACTTAACTTAAACCTCAATTGGGGAAGTACTTTTTTTCTAAGAACTATTTTACTGATAACTGAAGAAAAAATAATCTCATCTGTCCCAAATACCCTCCAAAGTTTCAAGCTTTCATTTAATACGACTTATTGGCTATACAGCTAAAACAGGACTGGAAAATGGTAACAAAAGTGAATAACACTAGCAGAGTCAGACCTGAGAAGAATACTAGAACAGAATCCATTTGAGCCTGAACACAAATTCATCATAAACCAACCAGTCTCCTATTGGATCCTATTCAACTGAACATCAGCCTAAATTAACCTTAAACTAATTGGGACTTATCCAAAACTGTGGACATATATTCTGTCCATAACTAAGGAATTGGAATAGAAGATTCGAAACATTCTTGCAATAATATATATTTAGGTACATTTTAAGAATAGTAATCTTAGCATTCTCAGAAAATACTTGAGCAGATTTAAATATTTTTTTCTCTTCTATCTAATTTTACTCCTAAAGGTTTAGATGTTTCAGAGTGATTCAGTGGAAAAACATAAATAGTAGTTTCTCTTTCATAGTTCATTCATTTGCATTATGTATTATTAAGATATATACCTTACTAGTTAATATTTATGGCATACCCACTTTGTACCTAAACACACTCTAACCCTCACCAATTCTGAAGACTGATATTATCAACAACGTTTTACATGAAACCGAAGCACAGAACAGATTAAAATAACTTGCCCCAACTAACACAACAAGTAAGTGTCGAAGCCAAAACTTCAACTCAGGTCTGACTCAAAAACTCACACTTTTTCCAAAACTGGAAAGTGAAATGGGATAAAATTTTTTTAAAAAGATAATCCTCAAGAAGACATTATATGATATAATAATACAAATATATACATCCTTTTAATAAAACAAAAGCTGAACATATCAAAGGAATCTTTCGTTTTATACTCTTATATTTTTTGAAACAATAGACTGAACTTCCCCTTACTAATAAGAACTATTATAAAATTTCATTCTTTCATTTGACCTTTTTCTTTTATCAAAGCACAAATATAGCCTACTGAAAACATGCCTCATATTAATTTCAACATCTTAAGATAGCAGAATTTTTTTTGTGTTTGTGGTGCTAGGAATTAAACCCAGGGCCTGGTGCATGCGAGGCAAGCACTCTACCAGCTGAGCTATATCCCCAGCCCAGCACAGACATTTTAATACATTCTCTCAAAGCAATTTAAAAGTTACCCAAAAACTGAAGTACTGTAAAAGAGAAACAAAGAACATAAAACAGAAAACATATGAAATACATAATAGTAAGTGCAGTGAGATGAAGAGTATCCCTCATAAATTCATGTCAACCTGGAAACTCAAAATGTTATCTTAATTGGAAATAGGTCTTTACAGATATAATTACTTAAGGGTCTCAATATGAAATCATTCTGGATTTAGGATGAGCCCTATTACCTAATGACTGGTGTCATAATAGAGAGAACACAAACACAGACACAAAAGGTAGCCATGTGACCACAGAAGCAGGGACTGGAGTTATGCTACCATAAGTCAAGGAACAGCAGGAGTCACCAGAAGCTGGAAGAGGCAAGACGCAGACTCTCCATTAGTGCCTTGCCTTGTGAGGGAATGTGGCCCTACTAACCCCTTGATTTCAGACTTCTGACCTCTAGATTTCGAGAAAATAATCTTCTGTTTTAAACCATTGAGTGCACTTTGTTACTACAGCCCTAACAAACTGATTCAACCAATTTATCAATTTAAAAGTGCATTTTCTAATATTCACCATTAAAATTAACAAATTAACAAAAGCAATCTTTTCTGAAAACTGGCTTTCCAAACTGTACTGAACGTGCCCAAGATTTTTAAATGGAACATACTACATGATGACAAGGACAAATAAATGTTCAGCTTGAATGATCATAATCACCAATTACTACCTTATGCTCACACAATGCTATCTAGCCAGAGGACTTCTTGCTCTTGGTATATTACATTCCTGCTCCGGTGGTTTACTGACTTTTTTTTTTTCTTCTTCTCTTTTCTTTTTGGTACTGGGGATTGAACTCAGGGGTGCTTTACCACTCAGCTATGTGCCCAGCCCTTTTTGTCCTTTATTTTGAGATAAGGCCCTGCTAAGGTGCTTAAGGTCTCTCTCTAAATTGCTGAGGCTGGCTTCAAACTTGCACTCCTCCTCCCTCAGCCTTCCCAAACTGCTAAAATTACAAACATGTGCCCCTGTGCCTGGTGGTTAATGCCATTTGAAGCTGTACCCCATCCTTTGCAGCCCTATCAGGAGTCAACTCCTACCGACCCTTTTCCAACTATCTGTGTTTGATGGGCTACAGTAGTCATAAAACTAAAATTATAACAGAATCTAAAGCATAATGTATAACACACCAGGACTGGAGACTATCCACAGAAAGAGATTTCCTAAGTCTGGGAAAGAATGTTTATTGTCCCTTTTGGAGGCTATGTTTATTAACAGTTCTGAGAAGTCCTATAGTAAAAAAAAGTCTCATAGTAAAGAAACCTGTTAAATTTTAACTTGGCTTTTCTTTTTTGGAGGGAAAAGGGGAGCCATTTGGGCATTTTATTTCTATTTGAGTATTAGGTCCCTAGAAAAAGAATCCCAGGATTTTCTCTCCTGTGTTTTCATTTTGCTTCTTTAGGGCCCATGATACCAGCCGAGGTGTTCATTACAGTGAATCCAAACTGATATGCCATTTTTGAGGCAGGATAATCAGTTCCCATTATTGAGTAGCACATCAAATCTGGGGTTGCTCTATATCCATACTTGGTTAAACTGCCTGTGAAGTTCACAAGAATTTTCCCAGATCTGTAATCATCAATGATTTTGAATTAACCAATGTTACTAAACTTCACTATCACAGTTAGAAACCAGTTGATGACTCTGCAGCACTGCCTAATAAGAACCTACTGTTGGTCTCTTTTCAGCAGTGGATGATCTTGAGAGCATTAGTGAGGACATTCTTGTACACTATTATGGCAACATGAAGAGATGAATGAAAGAGCCCAATCTTAATTTGATACAAGTTTTTCTCTCTAAAATTCTGAAACAATGTCCCAGCAGTGATGGCTCTCTTTCGTAGTAGGCTTTATTCCCTCCAATTACGCATTCTTCCCTTCCCTCATTCATGACAACAAAATCTTGGTAATTTTTATCATTTGTTACATTATCCTTATTTATAGGAAAAGAAATAATTGCTTTAAACCCAATCATCAACATACTTTCAACATTAAAATTTCAGTGGCATAATACTTTTTAAAATATAGTGTCTTGCCGGGCCCAGTGATGCATACCTGTAATCCCAGCGGCTCAAGAGGCTGAGAGGCAGGAGGATCTCAAGTTCAAAGCTAGCCTCAGCAACAGCAAGGTGCTAAACAACTCAGTGACTCTCAATAAAATACAAAATAGGGCTGGGGATGTGGCTCAG